GCCAAGTAGCCCAGGACGGCTGCAGAACTGGCTGAGGAAAAAAGTTTAGAAACTGGAGTTTCTGTTTCTCCACCCCTTTCAGGTAACAGCTTCCTAGGGTTGAGGATGGAAAGTCTCTAGTATCTCATTCTTGCCTACCCTCTGCTTTTCTCATTTACACAAATCCCCAGGTAATTAGAAAGATAAAGGTGTAATTAGTTCATTGTTTGTCTCTCCTTGGGGAGTGGGGCTTGCAAATTAGACATTTTCCTAAAACAGCCTCAGGGAGGGCCTAAATTTCCTCTCAGAACCCCCTCCCACTTAAATTCTTGAGTGGGAGGAAAAAAAAAATCCTGTTGAGGCAATAAAACAAAACAAAACAAACAAACAAAAAACCCTGGCACTGTGGCCTAACTTTTATAGGAGTGAATTCAACCCTTAATTCTTTGGAAGCAGAGTTGAGACTCAGAGATGTGGAGATAAGTCTGAGATGGGAAGCCATATACTCAGGTGTTCTTAGCATAGGGGTCGGCATCCCACCGGCTTTTTGAGGAGGGGGCTTAGGATGGGGGTAGGTGGAGCTGCTTGCTGACTTAGCTCATCTTGAAGTGATGCCTAAAAGAGATGCCCACTGAAGGGCATGCTCCCCCCAAGTGTGGGTGGGAGTAGATATGGGAAAAGAGGCACCCGGAATTTTGAATGCTGTTGCTTATTCTAGGGAGGGAGAAGATCAGTCCAATGTGACTGACGTTGGGTGGCACGGGTCCCAGCCCGAGGGAAAGGTAACAGCCTGCCAGCACTGTTGCGATCTGGGCACCTCTGTTCTCCGATTCCTGGGTGTCTGCACAAGGTTAACCTCCAGAAGTGCAGCCCTTTGAGATGGAGAGCTGAGCAATTACCTAGAGCAAACAAAGCACTTTGTGTTCTGCCGGTGTGGAGCCATCCCCTGCAGTCCAGTTATTTTCCTTCTCCCCTTCCTCTGCCCACCGCTGGGGGATTAGTTCAACCCTGCCCTGGGAGGCCTTGGCCAATTTTGCTGGAGCTGAGTCACTCCCAGTTGCCTCTTTCTGGGACAGTTGGTTGGACATGAAGTGGAGACCTTTGTGGGAACACCTTCTGAGGGGGAGATGGGACTGGCTGGGGTGCCTACTAATGTAGGGGAAAGAATCCTCCCAGCTGAACCCCGTCCCCCCAAAAAAAGCTGGGGTGAAAAGCTAGGAAAACTAATTGCCATCTTCTCTAAGCCTTTTACTCCTTGGCTGCTGTTCCACTTGTCTGCTGCTTCCTCAGTCTGGAACTTTGTACCATCCTCCTGTCTCCTTCCCTTTGTCCTAGGAGTGCCCAGTAGCCACCCTCCCCAAACCAGCTGCTGAACAGAGAGAAAGGCTGTGAAAAGACTAGTCAGGTGTGGGATCTGGGAACTGATTCCCCTTCAGCATTTTTGATGAGAGACTCTGTCCTGAGAGGGCATCTGGTCCTCCCCAGGACTAGAGCCACTCAGTGGGAGGGAGCCCCACATGACTTCGTCTGAGATTGACTGGCCACTGTCAGCTGAAGGTGGAGATGGGAGGGCTCTGTGTGTGTGTGTGTGTGTGTAGGGGCAGGTTTAGATGAACCACACTAGTACTCAGACCTTAAGGTTGGTGGCTTGGAATAAGAACTGATACTTTTAGATGACAGTAAGTACACATGCACTACTTTTATTCTTAATTCTTTTTATTCTTGAGAATTAAAACTGAGTTTTCAAAGCAGAGTCATATCTCTGCATAATTTGGCTGGTTTCTGTTCACATACTTGGGCATGTACAGTTTTGGGATATTGGGCAGACCTTTGTTATTAAAGATAAACTTGATAACGAGAAATGAGTAAGAGACACTTTTCCCCGCAAAAGGCTATTGATGCACAAACTGCATCAAGCATTTGTTATGGGAGAGGTGATTGTTTTTTTCCTAGGAAAGTTATTTCTACAGCTTTCACTTACATTAGACCTGTACACTCCCAGGCTGATAAATTATTTCTCCTTCCTGCCAGGTTTTACTGATTGAAGTTGTATGAACAAAGCACATACTTTTAGTTTAATTTTGTTGTTGTTTAGGTATATCGTGCATTAAATCAGCCTGGCTGTTTTAGTCACAGATTGCAGAGGCCACAGTACCCTCATTATGCCCAAGAGCTTTCTATAGGGTCCCTTCTCCATGTATCCAGGAGCTGGCCCCGGGAGATCTGCTGTGTGTGTGTGTGTGTGTGTGTATGTGTGTGTGTGTGTGTGTGTGTGTGAGAGAGAGAGAGAGAGAGATTGAGAGAGAAGGGGAGGGGAGAATGTGCTGTGTGCATGTGTGTGCATTGATTTTTAAAAATTCACTTAATCCTGATTCCAGTATTGAACTTTCTCCTCTACTCCCCCCTCCTTTAAATATTAATAAGACACAAAACATTTTACTTTTTGGCTCTTTTGCTGTAAATATTATTTTGAATACTCCTTAAAACAGTGATTTAGTTCTACCTCTCAGATGGATGATTGGGTGGATTTTTCCCGCTGAGGCAGCTTGCAGGGCCCCAAGGACAATTAATTGGAGGGAGCACAGATTAATATTGCATTACACATTCCTCCCTTCTCTGGGTTGAGCTGCTCCACAGTTTGCTATAAGAAAAGCAAGATGGGAGAAAACCGTATTGAGAACACACAGAGCTCACCTCAGTGATCTCCTGAGTGGCATGGAAGGTCAAAGGTAACTGATAGGACTGGGGAGAATGCCCCTGTGTGGTATAGAGCCCTCGGCTGCCAGCAGGATCGGGGAACTCAGAGTGTCTAGATGAGATGATGTATGTGCAGCGGATGGCGACCTGGCATCTATAGTCTGATGGCCTTAGCTCTGCTACTGGTTTGGTCAAGATTATACTTGTGGAAACTCGCGACATGATAACTTCCACTTTTTAAAAAATAACCTAAACAAGGAAACCCCCAAAGCACAGTCGACTTTTCTGGTATAAGTCCCATATCGCGGGACTGCCTTTCCCTGTTTTTCTCTCCATGGAAGCAGGAACCATATGCAGAATTCTGGATAAGGTATATACCCTTTGTTAGAAATGCTACCAATCTCAAGCTCTTGGTGAAAAATAAATTTCTAGCATCTGGGCCAAAAGACAGTCACAGTTTTCTGCTTGGAGTGTGTCTGTGGTTTTTGCTACACTGAGAATCTGGATGGTGTTTGGCCCTGGGTATAGAATAAAGGTGAGAGAGGAATCTGTTAGCAAAGACCAAGGCCATGAAGGGACCCTGCTTGGAAGTGAGGGTGGGGTGGGGTGGGTGGCCAACTCTGGATCAGCTGTGTCCTGGGAGCAGCATTGGTTTGGAAGGGCTGTGTAGATCCCTCCTCATCTTCCATCTTCAGAGGCTTTGCCCATTTCACTGAGTCACAGAGATCACTGAGAAGCCATGGAGAAGGAAGGGAAGGAGGAAGACAAGGACCCTTATATCTGAGCAGAGGTCTCTCTGCACATCATTCTTCCCTGGTTACCTTGGTGGTGACTTTCTTGTGCCCCTTAGCTCCAGCCTGGTTTGGCTTCCAATGCTGTGCCAGGGATGGAATGCCCTTAGAACATGCTAATGCTTTCCTAGATCATGGATAAAACTCCAAGTAATTTGAAAGATGGCGATGGTGATGGTGATGGTGATGGTGATGGCGGTGGTAGTCTTGGGGATGATGATGGCGATGGTGGTGGTAGTGGGGTGATGATGATGATAATGGTGGTGGTGTTGTTGTTGATGGTGACGGTGGTAGTGGTGATGAGCCACCTCACCCCGCTTAGGATTTCACTGTAGGCTTTCTCCCTGTCCTTGAAGGTACTTTTCCTCCCAGGGATCCTTCCAGCATCAGTAGCATTTTGGCTCAGAGGAGACCTCTAGCCCTGGCCTCAGATGCCTCCTCCCCTGGGCATAGCCATCTCCTAGTGGCCCTCATACTGGCCACACACACACCTCCTCTTCAAAGCACTCCACAGTGCCCCGAAAATGGCTTGAGAGGATCTCTCCCATCCAGCTCTGTCCTCCCATTTGGCAGCTTTTGTTAGGAACTCATATTGCAACAGCCCTTGTAGAAGGGTGTTCAGAGCCTGGGGTTAGAGTTTGTGAATCTGGAAGAGGTTTCTTTCTTAGAGAGTTGGTCAGATTGATCTGCTGTCTTGGGAGTTTGGGAATAGGAAATGGGCAGGAATCAGAGGTAGTATTTAGAGGAGAGGGGAGAAAGAATAGGAAACAAACGACTGGAATACATGTGTTTGCTTTACAAGTCAACTTTTCCTAGGGACCCCATCAAGCCACAATTCCTCGGACCTACCCTATCCAGCTCCAGAGAAATTTGGTTTAAATAGTTGTGCCATATTTAACAGCTCTATCTCTTAAGTTTCCAATAAACCATATGCCTGTTTATAGCTTTAGCTCCAGGACTCTTCTTTTTGATTCTTGGGTTGCCCTTCAGAAATTCCAGAAGATCTTTAACTATTCATCCTGGTGGTAGACTGGTCTCTTCCCAAGGGGTGGTTCCTGTACCCATACCCCCGTAACTCACAGCTCTTGTTTTTCTCCCTTTCCATTCCTAGGCACAACCGTGTGTCCTCCATGTGACAATGAGTTGAAATCTGAAGCCATAATTGAACATCTCTGTGCGAGCGAGTTTGGTAAGAAAGTGTCCCTGGCCGCCTTGGGGAGTTTGGTGTTCCCTGGTTCCCCGGTTCCT